TACTAAGTAGCGAGCGAAAAGCTATTCATCAATATTTTTCATAAGCTATGTTAGTTGTATAATTGCTGATGATCTTAACGGTGTATCGACTTAACACACTGGGCTTCTAAAACAATTCTACTAGGGTTCGATTCTAAGGAGTCATTATCTATCTCAATAACTGGTAGCATTCACACGTAGTCTCAGATGGATTTAATTAATTCTATTATAATGATTCAATATTTTCTATTTCCATATAATATGCAATTATGTTAACAAATAGTAACTAGCAAGGGTTTAACACAACAAGGAATATTACGGAAAGATTATTCTTTCACAGGCATTCAGGCATTGAATCTAATACTTCAGGAACTAAATCGGGAATTTATTTTGTTACCCTGATATTAAATGGAAAGAGTTGTTATTTTTTCCAAGTTTTATATATACGATAATATGACATAAAAGCAAATAGTATACATATTCCATTAGGCTACAAATAAGGCTAGTGTGGTGATATAACAAATACATAGACTTATATTAATAACGTAACTGAATGTAGTTTTCATACATTTGGATACTAATAGAATCTCGATTCAAGTTTCTAAATCAAGTCTCATGAAATTTATGTGGTTGAATTAAAATTGTAAAAAAGAGTTTGCTTACATTTTTTATACAAAATACTCATTATTATGAGTATGTAGCACATATGGTATTTTTGGAAAATGGTGGAGCAAGTGAAGGTTTTGCTCTATAAATATACATATCTGTAGCATTGTAGTAAAAAATATATGGCACTCTTAATTTTCATAGAGAATGAACCACCCATCCGCATTAAGTACTAACTTGTATTTTTATCTCTGTTCTCTCTCTTATGCACAACTTCATATTTCAGTTACGTACCAATTATATATTAAAATATGTATTGGTTCAATTAAAAAGTGTATGGTTTTCTAGCTACAAAATTAACTGCAACTAATACTATTGACTAGAGAAAAACACCATGATAAAGCACTTATCTATAGTCAGCCAACTGTTTCAAATTCCATAAAATATGAACAGCAATATATATATATGGATATATCAGCTAAATACAATTAATTTATAAATATTACATCACTAAACATAACTATGTAAATTACACATAGTAAACTGTCAATGTATAAAATAATTTAAAATGTTTTGATAATATTTAATACCTACTACAAAGTCTGAGATATAAAAATAGGAACACGTCATAAATGTGGGATATATCAATTTAAAACTAGGTACATTAGATATTAAGTTATAAACAAAAGTAGACAACATTAGAATTATATTACTGCTGGCGTAAGTAGAATGCCGATTTAATTAAAATATTCAAATTTGAAAATAAAAATTATTTATGTGACATATCTATAGGGCAAATTAGGTAAAATCCTTACCCTAGAACCTTAGACCTAGGAATAGCTGTATACACCCTTCCATGCCATATTGCTTAAATAAACTATATAGCATTATTAAAACTTAGAACAGAACTCAATATGCAAACGATTTTACAAGCAGCATTCAACTTACGTGGCAACATATATGTGTACAGTCTAGCCATTCTATGGTTATTTTAGGACGTATACAATTACACAATGACATAAATAATAAGTAGATTAAAAATGAGGATGACAAATTATTAAAAATACTAATATCATGCAGTCTCTAGTATGAGTTACTTAATTGACAAAATTTGTATCTGCGACGTAAATATGTAGAACAATAGAGGTCGTTTTAATTGCCAAGTGACCTATTTTCGTAATTAAACAAACAATAATATGTGTTGTTCAAGTTCAAGTTGAACGTGGGGTGAGAATGAAAACGTTTTATTGGATTGTAACAATATCGAACGTGCGTAATCGTATATATAAGTACATACCTTGCTTCAAGACCCTGTACTTTGCTTGTGAATTAAAATCGACAAGATAGTATTTTGTATAACGATAAAAGAAATGTAAAATGTATATAAAGAAAAAATGTTTAAACTTTTTATCAGGTCATCTAATTATAATTCTGCTAGAGCTAGTGGCCTTTTTTAATTACTTAAATTATAGCTTCATCATGAAAAAATTTTACGTATAAATACAAAATATTCACTTGTTGATTTTATTTGATTTGAACAGAATGTAAAATAAAATTAATCTAAATAAAAATATATGCAGATTGTAAGTTAACATCAAGAATTTGTACATATCATAAAATCATATCTATAAATCTATGCTTGATATGCTGAGCATTTTTGAGTTTCTACAAGAACAAGGTGAAGTGAGTGAGAAGGCTATAAAATAGCAACAAACAGGAATCTCATCGTTTATGAATATTCCAGCTATTGGCATGTTTTTTTTTTTATGTTGCATATTGTATTATGGCCATGCAATGGTGGGCAAGTAAGTAAGATTTGCAAGATATCTAACCTCTTTCTCCTGGAAACAATTTTGATTTCTGTTAATATTGTTTTAATATTTTAAAAACAATGTATAATCAATTCGCTGTTCAATTTAATATGCCTAATATTTAATTTTACCATATTTGTTAATCAGTAAAAATTATATGAAACAGGATATGTAGAGACACACACAAATTATAAATGATTGATATGATATCACAACTCTTATCCTAGATATGTAAAAGCACATTACTAGTATATTACTACACAGACTTAATTTCGATGGTAAATTTCCAAAATCTGTTAAATTTGAAAAATAAAAAAAAAACTGTCGGACAAAGCTCAAATTAACAATAGTCTAAATATGAATCGACTATCCTTTCAGGATTTGTTTCCTTAAAAAAAAGTTTTATATACAATATATAACTTACACTGCATATTAATACATTATTTATTAAGAAATTAGAAATGTCAACAATAAAGATAACGTGTCGAATACGTTGTAATTCCATATACAACAAGCGAGAGATCTGTAATCAACTTATTTAATTACTACGTATAGATAAATAAATTAAGAAAGGCTTTTTAAAGGCCGATATTTCTTTTTTCTACTTTTATATTAGAATAAAATACTTCCAAAAAGAATATTTTCATTCATAATGTACAGAATAACAGATTAAGTAGTATATTGGGTATACCAAGATATTTTTAGACGTTTCTAACCAACGAAAATGATTGCAAAAAAATTTCATGTTATTAGTATGGCCCTAAATATAATTAATTTTCAAGTCTATATAAACTAAAATAACTTCATTGGGTAATGAAATGAGATTTCTAAATTTAAGTAATCAGTACCATGTCAGTTAGTCTTATATACACCAATATAACTAGGCAAGTTTTTTTTTTTTTTTAATAAATAGGTACTCGTATTTTTCTTATAACTGTTTTTTATTTTATTACTTATTTTTTTATAATTATTATTTCTGAAAATTATTAAAATATATACATACATATTTCTATAAATCATATTTAAAATAATATATATTTATTATAAATTTGCGTTCAATTCCTACTCTAATGGGTGTTTGACTCTTCTGATCTGTCTGTTTTAAATAAGATATTATATTATTAAAATATTACTGAATAAAATCAATCGAATAACATGATTGCATAATCTGCAAAGTCTGCTTTAATAATATAATGTAAGTAATTGCCTCAATATTTATCGAGCTTAAAAGCATCTGCCAAAAAATAGGCTATGAAAAGAGTCTAATAACAGTAAAAATGGATTTGCAATGAGACACTATTTGTCAAATTAAAAAATTATAAAATATTTGTAATTCACTACATGTTATGTGCCTTTATGATTGCCACTTAAATAAACTGATGCTAATTCGTTCTTTTCTACTATCATACACGTCTGTAGAAAAATATCTTTAATAATAAGATGTAGGTTTGGCGACCCTAGGATCTTACTATAAATAATTATTAACTGTTACTAAATTATTTAAGAGACAATAACCAATTTTAAAATTAGAACCTTATAAAAAAAAACTTACACGAATTCAAATACGAATAAAATAAATAAGGTGAGAAAACAATAAAATGTCTCAAATAAAACAATATAATTTTTAATTAAAATTTGAGTAAATAATACTTCTATCGGACAATAATGATGTAATGCGTCTTATTTAATACCTTATGTACACATTTTTTATTTTGAAAATTAAGATTTTATTCGGATGCAGTAGTAATAAGATGCTAAAAATGGATAAAACTTTGTTACTATCTAAGAAGCAGTTCACTACAGTTAAATGATTAATTCGAATAAAAATATATTGACACATGAAGAGTTAGTTTCGTAGTCATTTCATTATTACAGAATACTTTTTATATGTTCATAACCTACATGAACGTATAAAAAGTATTCTGCAATATATAATATGCTTATAATGTATATTCATAAATATAATTCGTCGTATGACATTCGTTTTAAAGCCAGTTTTTTTGGTGGACAGTTTTAGGAAATCATTTCCTTCTAATTAGTACACACTCAACTTTTAACACTTTTTAGAAAAGTATGTGAAGAAGAATCACCGCCAACATGGAAATATCATATAATTGTTCCACAAGAAATATTAAAAATCTAAACTACAAATTTTTACTTCTTTAGTCATTTAGTCGAAGAGATATTTTTTACTAACTATTCAACTAAATTAATAAAATCATTCGAAACAGGCTTTACTGTAGCATGTATACTACTGATGATATAATTAAACTTTACACAACACCCCTAGTATTATAGTAGTCTACTCTCCGTTTCTTCATACCAAGAATTACTGTAAAGTGAATGACTAATGAATACTTCATACCACAGACGGTGATTTAGATAATAATATATATTTATAGCGGGCAGGCATTCTCACTACTGGTTTATCGTGTAATTCGCATATCACTTATTGTCAGCGATATGAACAACTGTCATGTCACTACCTTTTTTATGTCCTTGTCATATGAATACACATTAAAAGATAAGGCGCTCGATATAGTATTAATAGATTTTGTTTCAATTTTTAATATATAATAAATGAAGAAACATTTAAAATTTCGATTCGACAAAAAATATTTAATTACATAATTTATTACAATACACACATAAATATTTCTGGTTTGCAGTAATTAAAATTTCGCTTTGCAAAATGGAACAACAAAAATATCTTACATCTACAGATCAAAGTACCACTTAATGAATTAAAGACTATAAACATCTTTGGCTCGGTAAAGTCAATGGCCAGTGATAAAATATATTCTGTCAATAGCAAATTTGAAATTAAATAAGTCTTACGTATTCAATACAAAGACTAAAGGCATTCTTGCCTTTAACGCCCGCTAGCACCATAAATAAAAGTACTGTGTATCTAGAATACCGGTATAGTTAGTACAAATCGATCGAGATGTTTACAGTACAATCACATACAACCCTGATAAATATTTTAATCTATGATTGATATTTGGGCGAAACCTATCAAAGTCTTGTCGTCGAATTGCTCGTTAGGTCCCGCGGAATTCTGTAAACAAATAAAAAAAAAATTTTGCTCAAAAAAAACAGATTTTATTGACAGATAGTATCGTAGTAGCACTTAGCTGTATCTTGGCCGCGCGGTCCTAGTATAAAATAAGGCATCCCTTCCTTTCCTGTGGGTATCGTAAGAGACAACTAAATGAACTTAATGGTAGAGGGATAGGTAGCAGCGTCACTCTTAAAACATCTCTAAAAACCTAATTACGGTTGTCAACCTGCCTGCCAAGCGTGGCAACTACTGGCAAAACTTTCTTTATAGGAAAAGCTTATGCTCAACAATGGACAATTACATTGTCTATAGGTTACCACTTTCTACCAGGTGGGCCGTTAACTCTTTTGCCCACCTAAATTGCATAAAAAAATACAAACTTAATTTTATCTACCTTTTTCATAAGTAACAATAGTATATAATTTCGATATAAATATTAATATGATTACCACTTGTTTCTATACACAAGATACATTCAATCGAAACAATGACCTCATAATAAGATATGACAATGGATGAGGATGGCCTTTGATGTCACAGTATATTTTTTCGCCGTTTGATCAAAAAATTTTTCTTTCGAATAACATACCATTTATTTTCCAAAATAAAATTTTAGTGCACTTTTAAAAATTCTTTACATATTGTTATTCTTACCAAATGGAATGTAACAGCTTTCGCCGAAGAAGAAGACAGCTGCGCTTCAAGTAGTCTATTTAAATTCACGGATATGGGAACAGAATCCTGAGGGTCCACTAAACCAGCTCCAACTAACTCGGTGGCAATTCCTTCCGCAGTGTCCTTGCCCACAATAAACTCAAAGCGAATGTCATTCAACTCTTTACGCGCGTTCCTGAAATAAGGCAAAATTAATTACATTAAAGATTATAAGTATAATCATTTCTGTATTTCAGTATATATAAGTCTCATAGCGTCAAATCTCTAGAATTAGTGCAGGGATATATTTTATACAGGCTAATATAATATAAATATATACATTTTATATAATATTAATATTATATTTATATTTATGTTCAGTATGTTAAATTAATAAATCAATTAATTTTTTTGTTATTCATACTGTTTAGTAATATTGAAACTCAATAAATAAAGAAATAAACAGAATAAAAAATATAGTCATGGATAAGAGTTATCTTTAAAACATCCTACACTTCCACTACCATACTTCCAAAGATTATCTATTTACTTTGTGATATTGATATTTATTACTATTCTAATAGCAGTGCCACAAAATTAACAATAAAAATAAAGTGTTTCTAATCAATTATTGCTTACCTCAGTCGTAATACTAAATTTATAATGGGAGGCTCGCCTTGATCGGGCTTTACTTCGAAATTTTTTTTCTTATTGTTAGGAGATTCCTGCAAATAAATAATTACCTCATATTAAAAAAATAAGTGGAATACTTATAAAGCAAAGGACTTTATTGTTTCTCCTTAGAAGTACACCTCTAGTGAGAAAAAATAAATTCGTTTGCTGCGCTGCGCCCTTCTTTTTTTAGGCTATTTCAACTTAATAAGCAAAATTTTATCTACCTAACAGTACAAGAAACGTGAATATATCTTTATGAACAACAAAGAAGATCTTTATAAATACTAGACGTGTAAAACGTCACAATTATCTAAATATTTTAGTTACAAACAAGTGCATTTGAATTAGAAGGATAATATAGTATGCTATAAAAAAGATTATTCGATTCTGTAAGATAACCTTATGACTATTTAATTGAGTTAAATTTATTTATATCTAAAACAGAAACTGATAATTTTATAGACACAAAATTAGTCTAAAACCAATTATCAGTATTTTCAATTATCACATAATAATAGCGATAAAAATAAAAAAAGGAATATTGATAAAAAAGTCAAATATAACAATATTTATAACATATCTGACAGAACAATTGAGAAGATTGTTAATCTTATTAAAAGTTATTAAAATTTCGAAGTTTTGAAATGTGCATACTATGAACATAACCATAACCAGAACCAGAGACCAGAGAATGATATTTTATCATAAATCATACAATGAAGTTCTATCCACCAAAAATTCATATATCAAGTTTCTATTTTGAAATTTTAGTCACATTTTTGTGGTAAGTAGCCAATGTAAATACAATTTCCCGTTATAAACAACTCATCATATTACCCTAAATTACCCTTCATCTGATTGCAAATATGTATAGATTAATAACATCCGTTCAATTAGTAGTAGACAAAGTAACAATATTGTTGATTTAAATATTACATTACATGTTATGTATGCGTTTCCGTCTAGTGATAAAATAATACTATGTGTTAACTACTTGTTTTTCAACCGAACGAGGATGTTGTAAACAAAGTACAATACACTAATTCAAGTGAAGGAAACTCTAAAATAATGCTCTATATGAATATGTAATATTAAAAATTAATGCACGTCGTTCATAACTATAGACGACCGCTACCACTGTCAGATGTTTACTATTTAACAGCCTTCTGTACTTATAAAATAAAAAAAAGCATAATATTTAAAAGTCTCACCTCATCATTTTCACTGGCACTAGAATCGGCCTTTTGTAATTCGTTCATTGGCCTCTTATCTTCGCCGACTGACGAATCTTCATCGGATTCCTGGTGTTCTGCGTTTTCATCCTCTTCTTCACTCCAAACCCACTCTCCAGTGACGGTTCGGTGCAACCTCCCAGAGGCACCCGGTTGCCTTTTACTTGCCTACAAATAATAAAATTTACTATATTTGTGACTCGTAATAATAGTACAATTGCTTACAAAAGAAACATAATATTACAAGTAACGAAAAACTAAATTCATGAAAGAGAACAAATATTTAAGAAAAAAATGATATAACAACAGCTCTACATTACACACTGGCCAATATTATAAAACATTATAGGTCCAAACTGGAATTATCTTTATAACATCCATTTCTTATTTTAATTGTGTTCTCTCCCCTTTAAAAAATGTTTTCTGTGTCTTCATTCCTCAGATATACATATTAAAAAATAATTAGAACAGGATATCTTACCTTATGTACCCTGGTTTCCATGCTAGGCCCAATAGCCACTAGAGTTTGAGTTAAATACTTCCTATCCTTAGCTTTTTTGAAAAATGGATGTTTTAGTAATTCAGTGGCCGTGGGCCTTTTCGATGGGTCTTTTTGTAAGCAGTCCACTATCATTTTCCTAAAGGTTTTTCCATACGCCTTATATTGCTCTTTTTCGTCTGCCCCTGAAAAAGTAATTTTAGTAGCAGATACATGTCCATCACACCTGTCTTCTACTGAAGTAGACAGAAACAATGGTACAGCAAACGCTTCCTCCAGATTCATAAATTTATTCATACATAGACATACTCGCCAGTTACAGGTACTATTCATCTGGCCTTTTTTCAAATACCTCTATCTAGTTAATATACATCTAGTACTCATAAATACTAATATTATATAAAAATCTATAGTCTATCTCTAAATACATATATAATATATATGTATGTATAGTCGTAATGGCGAACTAAAATATGAATAGCTTTTTCTAACTCGAGTGCAACAAAATACGTGGGTGGGTCAAAAAGTTCGCAGAACGGAGGATAAAAAGTAAAAAATATAACTCAAAATATTTTTTTCTTCTCAATATATTCTTCCTTAACTCTAATACATTTATTAAATCTATCAGTTAATGTAATTTAACTTCCGAAAAAAAAAAATTGTCTTTTTTACCAAATTTGCGCTCTTCACTTCTTCATTACTGGAAAATATCTTCCCTTAAAAATAAAAAAAGAGGTTCAACCTCTTATTTTGTTTTTAAAATAACACTAGCTTGGGGTTAAATCAAGACTATAAAGCGGAGTAGGAGTGTCCAGTCTTTGTACAGCAGCCACCGCAATTTGCGGTTTGTGCTCAAGTGAATTGTCGTGCGAAAGGAGTTAAAGACCTTTAGTCAATTTTCCCCGCCTTTTCTCCCTCACTGCATTTCGCAATCTAGTAGTGCAGTTTAATGCTGTCCAGTTATAGTGATACTCTTTTATTTGTAGTCAATGAGAAAAATTTCCTCTGTATCTCAAAAATCAGAAACCATGAGTTTCCGAACTGACGGGGACACCCTGAACTTCTTCCGAGTGTTGAATCCATTTTGTACCTAAGTCCTGTTTGATCTAAGACTCGAACGATGAATCGAAGTTTCACATCCAGTCACAACCCAGCCTTAAATTTCGTCCATGTTATCACCACAGAGAGCAAAAAAAACTCGCGACAGTATTCAAATAACTACTTAGCGAAATATAGATGAGCTAAACGTTCAACATCACGACGAAAGTATTCTCATTGCTTTATTTGAATTACACGTGTAATTTAACCATAACATCAATCTAAAACCCACTTATACATATGCATACATAGCTTATTAGTACATTACAGTCGAAGCCGGAAATGAAGTAACTGACGGCTGAGTAACACATACTAACAAATAAAATTTGCAAGCGACGTCAAAAGAACGAGGTTGAGCCGATTTCAGCCGATTGTACTTTTCTCCGATTTACGCGGAAAGAATAATTTAAGCAACAACAGTGTGTATACTGTATGAAGAAAAATAGTTATAATATTTTGTTCACAATTAACGTAGATATTACGTAACATATACATAAAAAAAAACAGGTTAAGGAATCTCCATCGTTTCGAAGTCGTTTAGAAAATCTCTAAATCATTTTATTCAAGAATAAACATAACTCCAAACCCCTCTGGAAATCTCTTTCATATATTTACAAAAACTGAGGTACTTTTAACTAACTTCGAAAAAAAAAGGAAATTCTCAATTTAACTAAATTGTTTATCTAAAAAAAAAACATTTTCAAATTGGTTTAATAGAAATTTCATTAAAATCGGTTAAAAACCAAAAGCAGTCTGGTTTTTTAATTAAAATAACTGATTTAGCTACGATTGAAGTGGATATTTTTTTGGGGAACAAAATTAACTTGTAGCACTATTTCCTTTGATGTAAATGGTCACTGAATAGCGCTGTATTATATCAAATATGTTGTTCTAACGATCGCCTTGAAAAAATATAAGTAAATAAAAATACTAATTGCAAACAAAAAAAAAAGTATTTATGTACTTATTTTACAATCCATCTAATAATTAGATTTTTAAAACAATCTGACTTCCGCCTTTTTCTGGTATACTTATAATTATCACTGTAACATAAATATCTATAAAACATGACCCACGACTGACGCATCCGCTCACGTAACAAAACAATGCAAATGTATTGCAGCATTCATCATAACTGATATGGGGAGCAGAGATAAACAAAGTTACTATAAAATATATGTTACGTGAATATTATTATTATGAATAATAATGGTACCTCTGTTTATTCATCAAAGTTAACATTGCAGTTATCAATAAAAATGTACCTGTATCCAAATTTGGAGGATCATTCTGCAGAGTCAGCATTAATACCTTCATAGGTGGGTATTTATGATATGGTGCAGTCCCAGACGCCATCTCAATAGCAGTTATACCAAAAGACCAAATGTCAGCTTTGAAATCATATCCATGATCCTGTAATTATAATATTAACTAAAACAATAACTATTTAAAATTATACGCTACCTTTTTGCCCGTTACTTCGTTCATGTCAGAAATAGGAAAGCCAATAAAGCAAATTAATTTCTGCATCAAAATAAAACATATATCAGATTTAAACCGCGTCCAATTTAGTGCAATAACTTTTGCATGATATCAGAACAAACATACAGAGGGACAGACAAAATTTCTAAAAAGTATTGTTTTGGCCTCTATTTGTATTGTGAAGACCTCTCACATTATTATTTTTTGCTAAATTATCTAATGTTTCTTTTTTACTTACATATAATATTTTATTGATCTTAGAATGGCAAACAAATTGACGGCCAACCTTTTGGTAGCCGTTACCTATGGACCTTAACAATGCAATAGACATAACCGAGTATACTGTGTCGCCCGTGAAATCTTTTATACATTACTATTCCTGTGGACTAAGGTTTATGGCTTCAAACTTAAACACAACCGTGCAAACTTTACAGTGAGCTCTATTAAAACAAACTATACTTTTTTTATAACATCAATACTCTCGTATTTTAGGGGCTTGAATGCTGCATTCATGTTGCAACGCGTTTTGGCGATCTATATACTAAGGAATTTATATTAATTACTTAACTACGGAGAATGGGATATTTAATGATAAGGGAAGTTTAACCTTGTTACTATCACTTAAAGTTTGTTTTAAGCTTAAAACCTCATATAACTTTAAGCTTTGTATTTCGTTGAAGCGGTATGAAATTATAATAAGTGACATATTACAACATACTATCCAAAAAAATGCACCTAACATTCCAGAAACACAAACACAAACTAATCTATTATTTAGAATCACTTTAATTTTAAAGTAGATAAAAAAAATTTGCTTACTCATTAAATATTACTGAATTTGTTATGACAACACGATGTACAGCTGTTATTCCAAAAATTAAAAGTAGGCATAAATTCTATTTTTTTCGTATCGCGATATAAAGTAGGTAATGTTACTTCAATAGAATTATTATAAAAGATTTCGTACAAAAGTCATCGGCATGGATTTCTGCCGTAAAAGACCTATGTTTTGTATGGTTGTGTTTCGGTTTGGAATATACCATAGTAGTGAAATTACAAAGTACGAATTCATAGAACTATAGTTCGGGGAAAAAAAGGAATTGTTAATTATGGGGATGTTAGTCTTCATTGCTAAAATTATGTACATATTTATGATAAGTATGGTGGTAAAAGGGTAATAAAGTTATCAGGTCGTATAATTAAATTGTCTATATTCGAGGATTTCCCATTCTAAATATCATAAAAAATCTCATCAAGAATAATACATTATCTTGCTCTGTTCAATAGTTATTACCGCCCACATAAAACGATAATGCTATTTTCCCTTTCGGTTCACGTCATTTTTTATCAGTGAACCTTTCAGTTAGTATATAATTCGCTTAACTGTCTTAGACAGTTTGTCTATCATGTCACATTCTGTTCGAGCAGATTTTTAACAAAGTCAGCAATATCAATTAATATTCTATACTTGTATTATATACAAACTAGTAAAAAAGAGGACGAGATCATGGCATGCAAAAGTCTATTCTAATCTGTAAAATTTTAAATCTATTCTATTTAACAAATGATAATACCTTCAGAATTCTATTCAAATTTAAACACTTACTTGTTCCATAACTTCGGGTGCCATCCAGCAGGGAGTACCAACAAAAGTATGTCTAACTTTTTGTCTCGATAAATCTCTGCCTGTGGCTAGCCACGCAGATACACCAAAGTCTGCAATCTGAACAGTGCCATCTTCACCTAATAATATATTCCCCGCCTTTATGTCTCTGAAAACCAAAATAACTGATTTTCATCATTTTATATTTGATATAATATTTTTAATAAAATCTCAAATTTATCAGATTACATTACATTATTATTAATTATTTTATATAAAACTAGTTTAAAAATGACCAGTGATCAATTTCGAAAACCCTTTAATAAATACGCAAAGCACAACATATATTTATATTATAAAAAGGAAGTTTAACACATCATTTACTTAATAAAAATTAAAGTGTTCTCTAATGGATGTCCCATTACTATAATCACAGTCGGAAAAATTTGTAGTTTTATTTGAAGTACAAAATACTATTGATGGCTGTTATCATTACTAACACTCTAAGTGTAAAAGTTCATTCGTTTGTTACTTGTTGGAGCTTTAATTTCTAAACCAATAGTCATGAATATTGGTATAGAAAAAAATTGGTATAGGCTACTTTTATCCCTAGCAAAGCTGTTATAATATAAATGCAATTCAACTAACCAGATCTGTACAAATAATGTTTTTTTTATACAACTTAGAATGGCAAACAAGCTGAGGTGGGCCACCTGATGGAAAATGATAATCGTCGCCTATAGACATGAACAATACCATGGGCATAACAGAATATACTGTTTCACCCATGATACCCCCCATGCGTTGTTATTCCTGAGGACTCAGGTGTTATTCCTCTGTACCCTGTAAATTCACGCCATATCCCATCCTTCAAACCGAAACTCAGCCATGCAAACACAACTACTTTACAGTCAAAACACGAATGGGACAGAGGTACCCTAGCAAACGACTTTTGTACAGTCTCCCTATGGTAAAATGTAGATGTATATTTGATTAAATAGTACTTTATAAATTCTATCTTAAAAAATTACCATTGCTATAACCAACGTTACAATTATATAGTTTATTTGATAAACTAAATTAATAATCAATCAAGCATAGGGACTAACGCGAATAACAAATATATAACTTTCGCTGTTATAAATTATTACATGCATTCGCAACGCCAATCACTGACAAGTTAGTTATAACTACGTGGTCAATGAATTATCAGCCACTTAGAGCTATTTATCGGAACAAATTATGTATGATGTTGTAAAACGTGAGTTTGGAATCTTAATTTATTCACACATAAATTTAAGTACATTGAATTCGTATGAAATGTTAAAAAAATGTCAATATGTACTGATTACAAGTTATGTCGCTATGCCATTTCTGTTCAATGTGAATGTAGCGAATCAAAAACAATATAATAAAAACATGAACTCAATCATTGTAAATCAACAAGTATTCGCTTGTTATTGTATACAGATAATAATTCGTTTATGCACTATTCTATCTAAACTAAAGGAAGATATAATTTTTCTACCAACTCCAAAAAAAGGAGAAAGTTTTCGTTTCGGTCGGTTCATTCACTGATGGAAGTCATTTACAAAGCATTTAAAGTCGTCACTCTATCAAGAGAGTACCTCAAGTACCTTTCTACCCCATCGGTTATCGGTTCTTCGAGCTATGTGATCAGCTCATTGCCACTTCAGCTTGCTTATCATTAGTTTTATAATGTTCATAATTCAATGACGCCTAATCGGTTAAACGGATTTAAATGAAACTTGGTACACGGGTAGATTATATCCTAATTTAATACCTACTTTACGTATTGATCGATTCATTCGGGCAAAATTGCGGGAAACAACTATTTATACACACATACATTAAACTAAAAGATAACTTGGCAAATTCAATTGCAAAATGTTTAATAATTCAGTGATTTTCATATAAACATAAAACATAATAAAGGTTTATGCCTTTAAGGTATGGTATAAGGTTGCGCACACAGAAATTAATAACAAAATAAAAAACACGCCGTTTTGCGGAAGCACAAATATTATTATATATTCGCAACGTATGAAATTCGCAACAGGTATAGATATATAATTTACAGAGCATTAGAATGTTTATACTACATAGCATGTTTTCACATTAGACTTTTACAATTCGCATCTACAGAAACCAGAAAATTTTAATATTCGCTGCACGAATTTAATTAACAGAACATTAAGTACATATATGTACTTAATACTCTGTTAAATAAATTCGTGTGATAATGAAGTAAGTAATGTAAGGTAAGTAAGTAGTAACACTATATTTAGTCACTTTTCTTCATCCCCAGGATATTGTAAGACATAGCTAAGGGAAGAAAATACCATACACGAATGCAAGAAAAAGACAACTCGAAAGAATACCCTATACCTAGTCGCCTGATCAACGTAGTATTGGAAATACATATGTCCAATAGTGGGCTCATAATAGGTCAAGTAAATACATATAATTTCTAACAAATAGAGCAATGGTTATTACCTTAACTTTGACAGTCAAAATTAGTAGTTTTATCGTCAATATAAATACATAGCCAAAAACTCTACATCAGTAAGCGTCACAAATACAATCAAAATATAAAATTATTTTAAAACTTTTATGCGTAATTGCGATTCAAATTTTTTTAACGCTCAGTAAACTAGTAAATAAGCACGCAACAACAATACAGAATATCTATACTAATATTATAAAGATGAAATATTTGATTGTTTCTAATGGATAAACTCGTAAACTACTCAACCGATTTTAAAATTCTTCCATTTATATAAAGCTACAGTATCAACATAGGCTATATGTTGCTTTCGATAATTCTATCTACCCGTGCGACACCGAACCGTATCGCTATTTTATTACAAAATGGCATTAATAACAAAAACCTATTACTATACATTTCGAATACAGATGTAATACCATTCTTATTAATATACATTCCGAAAGAGTTTATTTGTGACCTTGTCTACCTCATGAAGTCTAAACGACTCAATCAATCTTCATGAAATTAGGTATACACATAGTGCTAGGACTAGGTGCAGTAATTAACATATCTCAGAAACACAGGTGAAGTCACATGTAAAAACTTATAATTATATAATTTAAAAAACCATGAGTGTTCATAAATATAATATTATATAAGTAACAATGATTGGTATTGACCTAAGTAGAGCAAATTGCAACTTTTCAAAAATTTCAATTTCAAAATAATTATATATAATAGTATGCACATTATATGCCAAACATGTTTTTTATTTATAATACAGTGAACACTCTATATAAGCAACCTCTCTATAAGCAACATTCTTTATATTTTATTTATTTTATTCAGCTTAGTTAGTAAAAGAAATAAGTAAAAATATTTTCCAGGCAGTAAGTATTTTTATACTCCTTTTTTGCCTGTAAGCAACTTTTCTGATTAAGAAATTTATTTATTGAAATTGCTTTAAATGAGTTGCTATATAGAGCATTCACTATTTAAGAAATATATAAAATATAGAATAAACAAAATAATGTACAATCGCTAGTAGAAAAATAACATAGTTTATCATTATACTCATACATACTAAAAACTATGAAAACACTAACCTGTGTATTTGTCCGTTACTATGAAAGTATTCTAACCCCTTCAAAACTTCCTTAAGGACAGTAGCAATTGTTGCCTCATCAAATACTCCATGTTTACAATTGCTCACTTTCATCTTATGCTTAATAACATCTAAGAGGCTACCACCTAAAAATAAATTACTTTAGTTACACAAGGTAATTAGAAAAAGAATTATGTATATTAATACAATATGTAAGTACACTTTCAATTACCTTCTAGTAGCCGCAACACTAACCACAATTCATCGTTCACTACAAAACTTGTATAGTATGTCACAACATTTTCATGATTACAACTTGACATGGCCTGTGAAAAAAATATACATTGTAAACATTATTTATTACATACAATTGATATATATACAGAAAAATCTATTGCCGAACCGTCATAAGCACATCTATTTTGAATAGTTGCTCCTTTTGGACTAACACTTTTTCATTATTTTTGGATTAAAAAATCTGTACATAATAATGAGAATAAGTGAGTAAGACAAAAGACAGTAACCATGCGAAACCAGGGCATTCATATAAAATATTGGGCAAAATGCTAATCAATTATTAAATATGTAATAAATTAATAAAGACCTGTATTTCTTTTAGAAGCTCGTCCATTGAAGTATTCCATTTTTCCAAGTTTATCCTCTTGATCGCACATTTTTCACCACGGGGTTTACAATATGCTCCATACACAACCGCAGTAGCACCAACACCTATGAATTAAAAATGGAACAATAAATTTACAATTCAAAAATATTAATTGTATTATGCATTCAATTTATTTACCTTAGATATTTATGATTGCCAATAAATATCTACTTATTATATAATTTTCAGCAACAGGCTTTAGTAAAATAATTAAAATTTGTACCTAAATACTGAATAATTATAAATATTCACTTTAGATAAAAGTAAACCACAAATGATCAGTCACTTTCAAAAACCTAACTTTGATAATTACTGTAAAAGTCTATCGTTATGTTTTCACTGATGTGGTTAATAAAAAGTTTATTTGACTCTTATCAAAAGAATCAACAACTAATAAAATAAGGAACCTGAAGCCGTACGGGGACCCGAAATAGTTAATAATACATTTTATTTAGTGCAGCCCTATTTAGAATAGACGGTTTTTAATATTAGCATATTAAAAACAGTACAAATAAATATTAGATATTAATTTTAAAATATTGCTATACCTAGCAATTTAATTAAAGGATATTAAAAATATATATGTTTAGACAACTTGTACACGCCGCTAGTTAAACAAGCCGCTGTCACTAAAGTGCTTGAAACATATTCGCATATGAGATTATTTGAATAATATAATAAAAATAATATAAATCTCTAATTAATATTTAAAAAAAATTAATATTATTATATTAAGACAATTTTATTTTTGAAGTCGGCAAAATGTAAAAAATTGAAAATGACATTTCAATATCATATGGAATTTGACAGATTAGCCAAGTCGCCGCCTGGTAAATAATATTACTGAATATATACCTGTTCGCTTATTTATATTTTATCTAAACTGTATATTAATATAAAATGATTAAATATAACATACCAATAACATCACGTAATTCGTAATCATCCTGACTATTTGGCCACGGGTATGAAGGATTCGCACTGACCGCCATTTTGCGACTGAATAAATTTCCGATTCCTACAGCAGCACTTCCGATTGACAGACGTGCGGCTTTAGCGTACGACGATAGAGTTGTGAGGCGGTCGCAAGCTCCGAAAGATTTCTAGAAGTTGTAATAAAAAATAAATTAAATTTTAGAGTAAGAAATTAATTAAGTGTTTAAAAATGTTTATAAATAGACAGCGTCCTCTATTAGTTATATAAGTATAACCTAAATATTTAATTTGTGTATGTTAGGCATAGATGGCGCATAATCATTAAAAGCTATAACAGGAAACAAAGCACAGATATTTAAAGCACACTTAATGCACCTAGATTTTTTCCTATGCACCTAAATTCGTATTCAATCATTTCATTATAAAGTTATTTATTAAATTGGTTCTATCCTTAAGGTATTAGTCCCTATTACTTAATTTAATACATCGCATGACTGCATCACGTCTAACACAAAAAATGTTTGTATGAAACCTATACAATTACATCAAATTTAAAAACTTTATAGTATAAATAGATACAATCGTTTATAATACCTATCAATATTAATATTTTGAACACAGGCATCTTTGTATATTGTATATTTTTATATTTCTAAACATACGTAGTTACATTAATTTTCCAAATTCGGTAATACAAAAGCAGTGTTGGCTCTTAGTCTCTCGAAGAGTACCTAGTATGTAATAACTACAAATGCAGCTTATTATTCTTTCTTTTTTTTTAATCATAAAAGTACATTTTAGTATGCCTACGAAATAGTTACCAAACTCTATAAACGTCTGTAACACACCTGAGGAGAGACGTACGCTTTGCCTGTCCAATAAAACTTTCTTTTTTAATTTAACTTTTTTATCAACCATATTTTTGTATCAGCCCTATCGTACCCTAATTTCCTAAAATTAAGGGATAATTAGCTAGAAATTTTCTGATGGCAAGCAAACATATCGACGAGATCTAGGAAACATAATATTTTTGGTGAATGGATAATGCCGTAGCTACCGGAGAGCTAAACGGTGCCACGGGGCCCCCAAGCTCAGAAGACCCCTCGAACTCTAACTTACAAAATATAAGTTGAACAAGTGAATTTTTTTCCATATTCGGAATATACATAAATCAGATTCATTTAAATATAACTACATATTTATATTTTGACTTATATTGATAAAATTTTAAACATTGGTTCCGTATTCGTCGTGTTCCGAACTCTACATACGATTTGTTGTAACCCAGACTCGTCGTAAAACGTAGGTATAATCGTTCAAGAAAGTAATGCTATTAAGTTAAATATAATGATTCCATATACAAAAGGTGCTCAAAGGGACCCTATTAACGTGCCTTCGCTGTCTGAGTGTCTACCACAGAACTGTATTTTTTCAACGGTAATAGGTAGATATATTCTTTTATTTTCATAAAATAGCTTTCATTACTTTAAAAAAAAAAGGCCGACAGCGCACCTGCAATGCCGTTGGTATTGTAGGTGATCATGGGCGACGGTAGTCACTTACTATCAGGTGAGCCGCATGCTCGTTTGCCCGTTTTGTAAATAAAAAACGTTGTATTTGGTTATTAATTTTATTATAGAGTCGACTGTATTACAACAAATCTGATGTATTACATCGAATTCGGAACACAACGAATACGGAATAAAGGATTTTAAATAGTTTTATTGAAGCCCCCAGGGCCTTGGGTTACCTAGCTACGCCACTGATAAAATGATACCCGTCTAAGCTATCAGTATTCACTGGCAGAGGACCAGTGAGGAATGATAGATGAGAATGAAGGCATGTCAGTTGGCTCATCACGACGAATTTAACAATAATATATCACGATGGTTTCCAGAGGGAACCGTGTAGAAGTCGACCTAACAGCGTATATTACTAGCATAGGGAATTAACGTCCACATTAATAACAACCCCTCCCCCCTCATATGAGGTTGACCTCTATATGGTTCCCCGATGGTTCCCTGGTTTCCCTCCCAGCAAAGATATATTAAATAAAGGTATATAGGGGTCAAGCTGACAATATGAGGAGTATATGGGGGTTCTTTCCTTTATAACCCATAGATATGTGGTGGAGAGTCCCATTTACCTTGCAAAAAACGACCTTCTCACAGTCTCCACTGAAAACAACCATTATTATTTTTTGGGAACTTTGTCACGATACTTCGTCTTCGTCTATTTGACATGACCTCTTACCTCTCTGGTGCCCAACTAGTGAATACCAATAGTATAGTTAAGGATACCGTTACATTTTCATCGTTAAAAAATAAACTTAAAGCTATTTATTTACAAGTGTTTTGCCTATCTGTGGAAAAAAGAAAAAAAGTAATGGGCGTGAATAACTAAGAGACACATTAAAAAAATATTAACGAAATGAGAATGGAATGGTTCTTCTGTCCACGCTATCGATATATACTTCCAGGATACCAGCGAGTGGTTATTGATAAGGATAAAGTCAGGTTAGTTAGCCATCCTAGTGATTTCAATAGGAATAACTACGACAGTTTCCAGGGATATCGTATGAAGATCTACTTGAAATGGTATATAGATATGCTAGCAGTGAGATAGTTCTCATTGCTAGCAATTGTTGAGGTAGCTATTATTTGAACCTAAAGGGGAGTTTAGTACCTTTCTTTTAGATTCAAATAATAGCTAGATAGTTTAGATGGATACCCTGAGGAAACTCTATTACGTCCTTTTAAAATAACTATTATATACCTACAAATCTAGAAAAACATCTATAGGTATGTCCTATTTAAGATCTCTAAATAGATAATGTATACATAGGAGATATTTATACAATATATTAATACAGGGGTCAGTAGAATCCAAAATACGAAATTTAGAAATTTTGTCTGTTTGTCTGTCTGTATTTTTCTTCCGGCATCACGCAAAAGATATCGCATCAAATTAGATACCATTTTCACAGTTGTGTTCCTCAAGGGTCTAAGGTAAAATATTATATAAATGGTTTTATTTCTATATCTATGATACGTCATCTAAATGTTATCTAATTCATTTATTTTCCTACTTCTAATATCCACAAGTACGAAATAGCGGATAAAAAGCTAATAAAATAATAAAAATTCAAAAACAATTTTAAGCAGTAAATAGACAATAAATAGTATTAACATATGTTTTTCATGCCACTGAAATGAGCATAATATAAATCACCTTATTCTAACAACGGGTATCTGACAAATTCAGTACATATTACATTTATAAAAATAGTGGGGGGAAGATAGTAGGAGGTAGATACCTTGCCTAACTAGCACAAAGCGGTCGTAACCTAGAACTCGAAAGTAGTAGAGATGGCATTGAATAGCCACATTGCACAGCAGTTTTAGAGCGAAGCCACACTGAACGAACGAAGTGAACGATTTACAGAAGTCCTCAGAACAACGTTTTAAAAAAATATTCATTTCAATAAAAAATACATACCTGTCTGTAAATCCCATGAACACCGGGTGTTATTACATCAGTATGATTACTGCAAAACAAGAGTATTTAAGTTATTTAATAGTAATTAATAAGAAATGTCATAGGAATTGGGCAGTTCTGATAATACACGTTTAAAAAAATCTGATAACAAATAACCAAATAAATAACCCAGAATACTTAGATCCAAATTATTAAAAAAATTACTGTTCCTAAAGTGGTCGAATTGAGAATCGAGCCCGGAACTACATTTAAGTAACGCAACGTAGCTGCTGTTATGATGTTTATATTGTAATCCGACAATCATCATCATCGTTATATCAGCCGTTAACTATCCACAGCTAAATATAGGCCTCCCTCTTAGAGAATTAGCAGGCGGATAGGCAACCGCAGTTAGATTTTGGTGACGCTGTTACCCATTTCTTGGCCATTCAATTCGCTTCTTACGATATCCACGGGAAAGGAAGCGGTAGTCTATTTTATGCCGGGACCATACGGCTAATGCTGACATTTGAATTTGATAATGAATATATAAAATTAATGATAATATACATCATGAATAATGACAATGTTGTGATTATTCATTATGTATATTTGTGATGACATTATATTATGTAAATATGTACACAGTACTTTCTATTACTGATTAAAAGTCTGTAGTAAGTTTTGTGCTGTCATAAGTATTATTGTTCGCGACATTATTTGTATATATCGTAATTTATAGTTGTTAAGTCCTAGTTAATCGTTCTGTATTCTGTTATTTTACATAGATTTACATAGATTTAAGATAGTGTAAGTTAAATAAAGTATTCCTTTGCGTGTTGTCGTTATTACCTACGAATAGAAATTGTAATAATAAATAGAATTAAGAAATTGTAAATTGAAATAAAATAAATAAATAGACGCTATAGAGTACCGATCTGAAGAGACACGCGTCTCGTTCATTTTCGCCCCGTCCCGCTCGCACAGATCGCTATCGCGAGTTGGAAACATTATCGTGCGAGCGGGCGGGTATAAAGATAGGCCGCCTCCCGTCGAGCGGCATTCGCTTCCGGGCAGCGACGCACTACACTCGAGAAGAAATAGGACAAGAAGAAAAAATACTCTCTTCAGACGGTACCGGAGGCTTCAGAATAGTAATCGCTGTGTTTCACTCCAGCCTGAACCAACGCCCCTACAGTCCACGCTCACCGAACGGCAGTCCACACCGTTCATCGTGGTCCTTCGAGAAGCCGGATTGCTGGAGGAACACCGTGGTCCTTCGAGAAGCCGGATTGCTGGAGGAACACCGTGGTCCTTCGAGAAGCCGGATTGCTGGAGGAACACCGTTGGTACATCGAGAAGCCGGATCGCTGGAGGAAGACCATTCTGAAGCCGGATCGCTGAAATGCCGACTACGAGAAACATGAAGTCGTCGCAACAAAAAATCGCCGTCACCGAAGCCACAACGTCCGCCGCCACCACGTCGACTACGACCGCCGGAACGCTGTCCGTCGCTGCCACGCCGTCCGTTGCTGCCACCACGTCGTCTGCGGCTGTCAGAATGCCTTCTGTCGCTGCCACGTCGTCTACCGCCGCCACCACATCGACTACGAACACGTCCGGCGATACGACGACCACAGGAGCCACGGAGACTACCGAAGCCACAGGAACGACAGAGGAGACAGCAAGGAAGAAGGAACCGAAGCACGGCACGGCACGCACGGTTCGCACCACGGCCTCGCAGAAGAAGAAGGCTCTGGCCAAGGCACGGGAGGAGCTACTTCGAAAGGAGGTGGAATTGGCTGCCGCACGTGTCGCCGCCCTGGAAGCCGAATCAGAGGACGACGAGGAAGTAGAAGACGACGACGCTACCGTCAGAAGAGAACGAACGTCGGATTGGGTTCATCGAAGCACGCTGGCACTCACGATGGAGCCGCATGTACCAGAGATAGAAGAAGTCACCGGCAAGCGTCAGGGGTTCGTCCCATCGAGACCCGTTGAAGAGGATTCGAGAGCGCCGCCGCCACAGCCGAGCAGCGACGCACTTCACCGGGACCACGCACGCCACGTTGACCCACATGCCGCCATGCCTACGATAGCAGCAGCGATGCAGTCGATGAAGAAAGAAGAACCGGTGCTGAAGGTGGGCATCGATTGCAATGAGTTTGCGATCGCCATGCAGATGGCCGCTCGCAACATACTGCCCTCCACAGCGTCAAGAGTCACCGAGTTGCCAGTCTTCAATGGATCGTCGAGCGAGTGGTTACCATGGAAGATGGCCTATGAAGAGAGCGCAAGTCAACTCACAGAACAAGAGAACCTAGCAAGACTGCGCAGAAGTTTGAAGGGGGCCGCAAAGGACGCGGCACGCTCCCTATTCGTCGGGTCTACGACCGCAGAAGAAGTGATGAAGATGTTAGCCGCGAGGTTCGGCCGCCCTGGAGCACTCGTCACAGCCGAACTGAACAAACTCCGCGCGCTACCACGACTCTCGGACAACGCAAGAGACGTCTGCCTCTTCGCAAGCAAGGTGCAGAACGTCGTCGCCACGATACGAGTGCTGAACAAGAGTCACTACCTATACAACGAAGAAATAGTGAGAAACGTCACAGAGAAGATGCCGTCGGTACTACGCTTCAAGTACTACGATTTCGCCAACGACCAACCGGAGGGACAACCGGACCTCATAACACTCTCTCAGTTCCTGCAAAGGACCGCCGCACGATGTGGAAACTTCGCCCCCGCCGAGGAGATACCGTCCGAAGACCGGCGGGAGTCCGCTCCTAGGAAGACGGCGAAGACATACACGACGCAGGAGAAACCCGCTACACCACCGTGCCCGATGTGTCGACGAGAGGGACACGCTCCATCGGACTGCAAGACGATGAAGGAAGCGGACACATCGGCGAGATGGGAGCTAGCGAAGACTCATAGGCTGTGTTTCCGCTGCCTCAAAGTAAGAAGATTTCGCCACGCCTGCAAGAGCAAGAGATGTGGAGTGGATGAGTGCACGCAGACTCATCACCCTCTGCTGCACACCACGCGACAACAGCCGGAGAATGAAGTGACAACACACGTCGTCGAGGACAAGTCCGCCGCAGTCGCCGCATCGGCAAGGGAAAACGACAAGATCGCGTTCCTGAAGATCCTGCCGATACGAGTCACCGGTCCCACGGGAACGTGCGACACCTACGCGCTACTGGACGACGGGTCGACTTGCACCATCATCGAGACGACGGTGGCGGAGCGAATCGGTGCTACGGGTCCCCCCGCACCATTCTACATGGAAGGTGTGGCCGGGGCACGGATTAACGCAGCTCAATCGACGCGTGTTCACTTCAAGATCCGCGGGCGGAATTCGCAAGAATACACAGTGGGGGCACGGACGATGGACAGACTGCAGTTATCACCGCAGTCGGTACCGCGCAGCGTCATCAAGGGCTGTCCACATCTGCGGGACATAGAGAGGGAATTGGTCTACGAAGAGGGCAAACCGACGGTACTGTTGGGGCAAGACAACTGGCACCTACTGCTGGCCCACGAAGTCAGAAGAGGATCCGACACGCAGCCGGTCGCATCACTCACCGACCTGGGATGGGTACTGCACGGTACGAGTCGCGGCAGGACAAGACAGCAGGTGCACAGAATCAGCCACATAGTAACGACACACGAAGAGGAACAATCGATAGAAGAAATGATGAAGCAACATTTCGCGCTCGAATCGCTGGGGATCGCACCGAAGAGGTCTTACAATGAAGAGGAACGTCGCGCCCTAAGCATCTTAGAGGAGAAAACTCGTCCGTTACCGGCGGGAGGATACGAGACGGGGTTATTATGGAAGAAGGACGACCCTGTGCCGCCGGACAACTACGACTCGACGATGCGACGTCTCCGACCGGTCGAAAGGAATTTCGACAAAAACGAAGAACAGTGGCCGCGTGAAGATAGTACGAGCGACGATAGTCAAGCGGAAACGGGAGAAGAACGCGTACACAAGCTACAGAACGCGACGCAGTTATCCATAGCATTACCCGATCCGTCACGTTTTTCTAATTGGTTGAAACTTGTTCGCAGTTCAGCACGGGTGTTGCAGTTCATCGACCTCCTGCGACCGACCAGTCAACGCTGTACCGCCATCCGAAAAAGAAACAAGAAGAAAGAGAGCGCCGACCCCACTTGGACCCGCACGAAGAAAGTCGATAGAGAGAAGACGAAGATGAAAATCAAGAACAGCAATAGTCCATCTGTGTGTTTCATCCCCATAGACACACACTACCTCGATCGCGCGCGACGGCTATGGATTCGCGCGATACAACAAGAGGCGTTCGGCGACGAAATCGCAGTATTGAAACAAGGGAAACAGCTGCCGTCATCCAGTCGACTCATACAGCTGTCAGTCGTCATAGACAACGACGACATTCTGCGACTTCGATCGAGAATAGCGGCCGCCGCCGATTTGTCAGCCGAGCAACGAGAGCCCCCCATCGTCGACGGAAACCACACCTGGGTGCGCCTATACATCGCATGGGTGCATCGGAAACTTCACCACGGCGGCTTCGAGATCACCACGAACGAGGTGCGACAACACTTGTGGGTGTTGCGCCTACGACACGCCGTCCGCAGTGAACTGAAGAGGTGTCAGCTGTGCCGCCTACGAAGAGCAAGACCGGCGCAGCCATCAACGGGCAACCATCCACATAGCAGGCTGGCGCATCATCAACGACCGTTCACGTTCACCGGCCTAGACTACTTCGGGCCTATGACCGTGACAGTGGGCCGCACTCACCAGAAGCGGTACGGAGTGCTCTTCACCTGCCTAACGACGCGCGCAGTCCACCTAGAAATCGCCGGCAGCCTCAGCACGGACTCCGCCATAATGGCCCTGCGGCGCTTCATAAGCCGCAGAGGGTGTCCCACGGAATTATGGTCCGACCAAGGCACCAACCTCAAAGGTGCTGACGTCGAACTGAAGAAAGCAGCCGAGGAAGCCATCCAAGAAGAGTCATCAGTCCATTTCATCCGGTGGCGCTACATTCCCCAGAGCGCACCCTTCATGGGAGGTGCGTGGGA